ATGGCCAGGCCGCAGAGGACTCCGGCGCGCAGTCCCGATAGCATCGTCGAGGTGAAAAGCAAAGTAAGGGCTCCTCCGGCCTCGGCTCTGGCCACTGCGCTAGACGCTCCCAATTTCCTTTCTCTCCTTTTACTGGCTTCTTGATCTCCATCACCCCTTTCTGTCTTCCTTCCTCCACCTCCTATTCTGCTTTTCTGCCTGCCTCCCCTCATCGCATCCTCCTTCCCATTACGGATCTCCAGAGTCCCTCTGTGGCCTGGGTATGTAGGAAAAGACCTTGGACAGTGTCGCTTGTACTGGAACTGAGGTTTAAGCTTAAGGCTGCAGCCGTTGCAGCAGCCCTTTCCCTCACTTGACAGCCTCAGACCTGTCGTGAGAAAGGGGCTTGGGCTGTCCTGACACTCCTCTCCCCTTCCCCTCCCGCCTCCAGTTTGACGCCGAGTTCCGACGTTTTGCGCTGCCCCGCGCTTCGGTGAGAGGCTTCCAGGAGTTCTCGCGGTTGCTGTGTGTGGTACACCAGATATCTGGCCTGGATGTGCTGCTTGGCTATACGGATGCTCACGGCGACTTGCTGCCCCTCACCAACGATGACAGTTTGCACCGGGCCCTGGCCAGCGGGCCCCCGCCACTGCGCCTATTGGTGCAGAAGCGGGGTGAGGATGGGGTACAGTGGGCAGCTTCCTTGGGGTAGAGTGACAGGGCAGGTCTACTAGGGTTAGTCCATACCCAGGGTTCCCAGGCTTCACCTCTGCAGTCTCTGCCCTTGGTCTGACCTCCAAGTGGTAGGAAACAATTGTCAATGTCCCTGTCTCTAATCCTCGTACCCCCCTCTTCTGCAGTAGAAGGTGACTCCGGTGGTCTGGCTTTTGCCTCCAACTCTCTGCAGAGACGCAAGAAAGGGCTCCTGCTTCGACCAGCTGCACCTCTGCGCACCCGACCACCCTTGTTAATCAGCCTGCCCCAAGATTTCCGACAGGTGTCTTCAGTCATAGATGTGGACCTACTACCTGAGACCCATCGACGTGTGAGGCTCCACAAACATGGCTCAGACCGTCCCCTAGGCTTCTACATTCGAGATGGCATGAGTGTTCGGGTGGCTCCCCAGGGCCTGGAGCGGGTTCCAGGTATCTTCATCTCCCGCCTGGTACGTGGGGGCCTGGCTGAGAGCACAGGGCTGCTGGCAGTGAGTGATGAGATCCTCGAGGTCAATGGCATTGAGGTGGCTGGGAAGACCTTGGACCAAGTGACAGACATGATGGTTGCCAACAGCCATAACCTCATTGTCACTGTCAAGCCTGCCAACCAGCGTAATAATGTGGTACGAGGGGCATCTGGGCGTCTGACAGGGCCTTCCTCTGTAGTGCCTGGGCCTACTGACCCTGACAGTGACGATGACAGCAGTGACGTGGTCATTGAAAACCGCCACCCTCCTTGTTCTAATGGGCTGTCTCAGGGACCCATGTGCTGGGACCTGCAACCTGGCTGCCTACTTCCTGGTGCTGGCAGCTCTCTGCCCTCCTTGGATAGCCAAGAGCAAGCCAACTCTGACTGGGGGAATGACATACGAGGTGATGTTAGTGGATTCAGCCTCTAACAGTCAAAGATGCAGCCCTTGACCCTTTAGGCTGCTGGAACGTGGCATAGACTTTCCAGTTGGGGAGGGAAGATAAGCTTGTTCACAGAGCCCTCTCAATAGAGAACATTAAAGATTTTCTACAAATGTAGATATGGTTGTTCTGTGTCCCAGCCCTAACCTCTTCCCTGACCCTGTGAGTCAGGCCTCTGTGGACATGAGGCAGGAGGGATAATACCAGCACTTGAGAGACCTTCCTCTAAGTATGCAGCAGGAAGCCACTGAACTTGGCATTTCTAAGAAAGATCCTATGGAAACAGCTGTTGTGTACAAAAGGTTTAATTTTGACATAGGAGTTGGAAGGCTGGGTGGTCCTTCTACAGCTACTGACTAGGAAGTGCTTTAGAGAGACTGCCCACCCCAATGTTCCTGTCTTTGGAACTGTGACAGGGCTTGAGTCTGCACTTTGTAGCCATGTAGCAATCCTCACTGTGGATCTCCCTATCACTCTACCCACAAAGACAGGGCTTAGGTATCCATCTTCACAAAGACTTTGGGTCGGGAAAAGATCTTGATAGCCTCTTCTATTTGCACCAACTTCTGGTCCAGTTCAGCACGGTGGCCCTGGGCTCTTAGAGAGTCTGCCCCAGCAGGTAGCAGAACTAATTCACGCAGCAGCTGACTCTGACCTACAAGGGAGCATGGAAAACAGTGAATGCTGGGTAGGGGTGCATGGTGCCCCTTGGGCTCCCTTTCAGCCACCCTTGCCCAAGTACTCACTCTGGAGCAGATTGTTCAGTGTCTCTAGCCGCTGATTCTCAGGCATGAGTGTGTGGCCAGGGGGCATGGCAGGATCTGGCTGGTTATGCTGGCGAGCTTCAGCTTCCCTCCGCCACAGATCCCTGCGCTCCAACAAGCTATAAATGCACAGGCCCAGGGTTGATGACACCAAGACAGACAGTTTCCCACCCCCCACAAAGGTCCATAACCATACTTGCAGGCCCATGTAACCTACTAACGGGGCACATGGCCTTTCTGTGTGGCATTGTAGTGCTCCTGGGCTTGTCGCTGTTGTTCCAGAACCTGTGCAAGGACCTGCAGTGAACGTGAATGGCGCCGGGGGGCTCTCTTGGCAGCTCGGGCATTGTGACTAATGAAATCCACATCCAGGCCTGGTCCCTGCAAGGGACATGGCAAGCATGGTGGGGACCCTGGAGCACTGTGTTGGTTCTCTGTACCCCACTCCCAAGAAAGGCCAGCTAATAGCCTTTCTAGTCCCCACAGAACCTCTCACCTTAGCTTTGGGACCTGGCAGGGTGAGCTGAGGACTGGAGACACGGGATGGTGGGAGCCCAGGGCCACAGCGGGAGTGTGCCCGCAGGAAGTGGGAAGGCTCTGTTACAGAGGCAGGGCCAGGCTCCTGGAAGGTGGGGCAGAGCAGAGGAATCAGGAAGTCTGAAGACAGGGTCCTTTCTGTCCCTCCTTAGTCTCTAAGTACCTTTCTGTGATCATCCCTATGGGCCTCCTCCTTGAAGGAAGATCTCTCAACAACATTCAAATATGCTTGTCTCTTAAAGCTTTAAGAACACTAACTACCAGCCGGGCAGTGGTGGCGCATACCTTTAATCCCAGCACTCGGGAGGCAGAGGCAGGCAGATCTCTGAGTTCGAGACCAGCCTGGTCTACAAGAGCTAGTTCCAGGACAACCTCCAAAGCCACAGAGAAACCCCATCTCGAAAAACCAACCAACCAACAAAAAGAAAACAAACTACTTTGCTATATACATTCATCCTCATTTGTCTACCATCCTTTCCTCCATTTTCACTCATTCATTCTATTTATTTACTTTTGGGTTTTCAGGACAGGGTTTCTCTGTATAGCCCTGGCTGTCCTGGAAGTTGCTCTGTCTTGAATTTAAAAAGATCTAACTGCCTCTGCTTCCCTGCTGGGATTAAAGGCACAAGGCCACCACCACCAAGCTTCTTTTCTCCTTTTAACCATGCTTTCTGGCTCTAGCACCCCAAAGTTAATGAGGGTTGCCCCCAAGTCCTCAAAACCAAGGGCTGCTTCCTTAGACCCACTGTCCTCAATTTAATTGTCAATGACACTCTGGTCTTACTGATGAGATCTAGAGCTATGTATCCATCTGCTTCCTGGACACAGTCCTACCCCCTGGCAGTCCCACACATGCTTCAGTCTAAATACAATCTCATGTGACCTTGTCTTTTCTCTCAGTCCTCTGTGTCTTTCTGGGTTCCTGAATAGAGAAATGGTAACTAATCTTCCTCTCTGTCCTCAGAAACGTTTCAAGGAATGGTGGTACATGTTTATAGTCCCAGGACTCAGGAGGCTTCAGTAGAAGGGGCAAAAATTTGAGGCCAGTCTAGGTTATACAGAGAATTCAAGGACAGCCTGAGGCTAAGCAGCAAGCTACAGCCTCAGAAAGGAGTGAGCTGGAAGTGGTGGTCCAAACCTATAACCTCGACATTTGAGAGGTTAAGGCAGGAGGAATATTAAAAGTTCAAGGCTAGCTGGGCATTGGTGGCAGATCTTAGTGAGTTCGAGGCCAGCCTGTTCCTACATGATGACTTTGGGGCTAGACCAAGCTACATATTGAGACCCTGTTTCAAAAGAAAGTAGTAGGGTTGGGGGAGCTGGAGAGATGGCTCAGCAGTTAAGAGCACTGGATGCTCTTCCAGGGGACTAGTATCCAGTATCACATGACAGTTCACAGTAGTCTAGAACAAAAGTTGCAGGAGATCTGATGCCACCTTCTGGCCCCTGTGACACATAGACTTGCAGGCAAAATACCCATACACATAAAAAAAAAAAATTAAACTAATTCATTTAATTTTATTTTATGTGCATTGGTGTGAGGGTGCCAGATCCCCTGGAACCCTCATAGATAGTTGTGAGCTGATATGATGGTGGGAATTGAACCCAAGTTTTCTGCAAGAGCAGCCAGCAATCTTAACCCCTGAGCCATCTCTCCAGCCCCATAATTTTTTTTTTCAAAAATCAATTAACTAAGAGAAAAAGAGAGAAAGTGGTATGGTAATATACATCTTTTGTTTTGTTTTGTTTTGTTTGTTTTTTCAAGGCAGGGTTTCTCTGTGTAGCTTTGGAGCCTATCCCGGCACTTGCTCTGGAGACCAGGCTGGCCTCAAACTCACAGAGATTCGCCTGCCTCTGCCTCCCAAGTGCTGGGATTAAAGGCATGAGCCACCAACGCCCGGCTGGTACTATACATCTTTAATTCCAGTACTTGGTAGGTGGAAAAGGAGAGTTAGGAGTCAACTCTAGTCATGTACACAGAGTTTGAGGACAGCCTGGGCTAGACAGAGACAGAGAAACTGAGAATGAATTAGTAGGAAGGCTGGGCGCATAACTTAGTGAGTGGTACACTGTATGCCTAAGGTGCAAGAGACCCTGCATTCAATCTGCAACACTACAAATAAATGATGTTGACAAGTAGCTTAGGTACTTCTTTCAGATATGTGTCAAGATAGCTTTCAGCTCTAATTGTCTACATATTGAATTATAACTATTATCCCCATTGCCTTGACCCCAGGACTTCTTTCTACCTGTGAGGTTTCATCTCTATGGTCTCATCTCTTCCCCTAGCCTAATTTTTTTTTTTTTTTTTAGTTCAAATTAGGAACAAGCTTGCTTCAGATGTCAATCCCTTCTCCCTCTCCCTCTCCTCCCCCCCAACATCCCACCTGCCCCTAGCCATCCCCCCTCCACTCCCCAGGCAGGGTAAGGCCTTCAAAAGGGGCTCCCCAAAGTCTACCACATCATCCTGGGCCAGGCCTAGGCCCTTCCCCATGTGTCCACCTAACCTAATTCTTACTTGTCCTGATGTCATCAGCAGCTCAGAGAAGGTCCACCCCAGATGTCTTAGCCTTTATGATCCCCCTACACATACCCTTTAAGTTAGATCAGGGTATAGTTGTCTGTTGGCCAATAGGGACAATATGTCTGGCTACGAGGAACAGATACCTTCATCCTGGCCTTGACTCGGGACTCGACATTGTCATACTTGGGTGAGCGCCACAGTGCCTTCAGGGGCTTAGGCTGGCCCTGCTCCCGGCTTCGTTCTTGATCTTGGAAGCGCCTCTGAATCTCTCTGATCCGCTTCAGGTTTTCCTTCTCATGGTCTTTTGGATCCTTCCCTGGGGAAAAACTGTTGCTAGGGACAACTCTACAAATGGCCATGGGACTTAGACCACACAGGCTCACACTGTATCCTTTGCAGAAATTTCTCCCAGACAATCTGGTAGATGCCTAGAATACAAGAGGCCCTGGGTTTCAATATCCAACATCACACACACAACATTTAAATACAACCAAGACCTCTTTATGTAAGCTAGACTCCATACACACAGCACTATTATCATCTTAATCTCTCCTTCCACAGTGTTCCTTCTGGTATCTTCTACATTTTGATAGTGATACCATTACCTTGTCCTGTCTTGTTTATTGCCTCCAACTGTTCCACTCATACTTTTAAAGTCTGTTTTCCCAACACCTATAGGGCTTGGCACAAAAGCAGGCTAAGTAAACAACGTTCCATCGAGGTGTGAATGCTTGAAGCTAGGATTACCTACATAAGAACGGAACTCTGATCCTGTTAGGAAGTAGTGCATTTCGGCCTCTTTTTGTGCTAGGGAAACTAAGACCCACAAAAGTACATTAATTACCTGGGCTCAAGGCAATTAAGAAGCATCCTGTTTTAATTTCTGCTTTTGACCGCCGAATGCCTCGATACCCCTTCTGGCAAGGACTTACTCTTAGGAGATACCCCTGAACCAAGGGATATGCCCTCCAGTTGCAGCAGCACGTCTCCCACGCCTCGCTGGCCACGCTCTAGTATCTCTCGGGCTCCAGGCCTGATGCGGGGGCCACGAGAAGGGCTGAAGTCCATGTCGCGACCTGAAGTCAGCAGGTCCAGCTTCAGTGCGTTTCCTTCCAGGCGCCCTTGGGCTGAAGAGCAAGACGCGGTGGAAAGCCGTGCTCAGTGGCGGCGCGAGCTACTCGCCACGCCGTGGGACCCCGCAACTCACCCGAGTCCGGCCGCCGGTAGTAGTCCGGGCAGAGCGTAGGGTCTGGGGGAATGGGTCCAGAGATGCTGGATGGGCCTTCGCACATGATCCTATCGCAGCCCTGCAACCGTGCAACGAAGCCTGCTGCGCTGCGCAACTTCGGCCCCCAATCCCTGTTGGGTGCTTCCATCCGCCACCCGAGCCCTGCAGCCCCGCAGTAGCCCCCATTCCCGACCCCCACCCTCGTCTCTCGCCCAGTCCCTAGGCTCAGTCTGCGCCACCATCCTGCTACCGGGATCCTGGCCGACTGCCCTGAGGTGTTCGCGACCCCTCCCCCGCAACACCCCAGAGGGGGCTCTCACTGGAGCAGTTTTACCGCCAACTGTTGCAAGCTAGTAGGAGTTGCTGTTGCTTGGCAACAAATGACTTCCTGAGGTCAGGGGTCAATAACTTCGGCGAAAAGCCTTCTGGGGTTTGTAGTTCCAGGTTAGGAACTATTTTTAAGTCGCAGGTCTCACCTCCCAGCGGGTCTACCCTACCAAGACTGAGTACACCAGTCCAACCTCCTCTGAACCCGCCGTCTTCTCCTAGCAACCGTCAAGGGATGCACTGATTCCGCACAGCCATGGCCTCAGCAGGGGCCCAGAGGCAGCCAGATGCCCAGAATGGGGCGACAGTAGGATTAGCCCAGCTTGCAGAGATCACTGAGGTGACTCAGGCATTTTCGAAGCTAGGGAGGTGGAAGCGGTAGGGCAGGAGAGGGGGACTGTAGGTGACCCAACCCCCTAACTGCCTGGTCGAGTCCTGCAAGTAGAGGGGCCTGAGCTGGTAGCCTTCATGTCATATTTTGTGGCCAATACTGGACTTTGAATGACTGGTCCCTACAATACTTTGCCTGGCCATTGGCTACTCTGCGTATCTTCCAGTGTCCAGGACCAGGACCAGGAGAAAAGTGTCTGGTGCCCGCACATGAGACCTGCAGAACCCCAAGTGAAGACAAGTATTCAGTAGGACACAGCTTCGAGCCAGAGCTCCAGGAGGAAGGAATAAACCGGGGAGAGGAAGGGCTCAATCCAGGGGTGGAAGCAGGAGAGGAGAGAGGACCCAAGCCTACATCATCCATCGTGAGGCCCAGTCATGGACCCAAGAGAAAGCCTATCAAGTGAGGGGGTTTTCAGAGGGAAGGAGTTGCAGGGCTGAAGGGGGTGGGGATCTTACACCCCGAGCTTCCTAAATCCTGATTCCTTCTAGGCAGATATCTTTGTCTTCTGCAACTGCCCCAACTCCCAACTAGAAACTTCTGTTTCTCTAGAAAAGGAGTCTAAGAGGAAGAAAAAAAAAAAAAAGATTTGGGGCTTTCAGGTCTTATAAGAGACAGTGTTACCATGAGTAGCAGGTCTCTATTGGGCTTGGAGCTTCATTGACCAGGAAAGGGCAGCTGACTAGTCCTGGGGTTGGTGGGCAGGCTGGGCTAGGCCCTAGGCTCAAGACACAGGAGCCAAAGACTGAAGTGCACCTCTTTCAGGCCTCTTGTTCCAGGCTTGGGCACCCCAGCCCTCCCAGGGCCAAGCTACCATGCCCATCCTAGGGCTGAAGCTGAGCTGCCACCAGGGCTGCTGCTGCAGAAGGAGGAGCCAGAGGGCAGTCACAGTGAGTCCTCACTGTCTGCTAAACAGCACAAAAAAGCCAAGAAACGCAAGAGTGTAGGGGCTCCTGTGCCCCCAGCTTTAGCTGGCACATCCACACCTACGGAGACGTTGGGGCTGGAGCGTGAGTGGCAATCTCTGGGGGTACCTTTTTTTGTCTTCTGGGTCTGACATGGCACCACCTGATGCTCCAGCCTTTGCCCTGCCTCCGGTTCTTGCAGGAAAAGCCCAGCGCCTGCGGCCACTGTACCAATATATCAACTATTGCAACCCTGAGCTGAATCAGGCAGGGGACGGGGACAGAGAGCCAGAGGTGGAGCCTGAGTCGGAGTTGGCCCTGGCTCCTGAGGAGGCGGGTGTGGAACAGCTGCAGTTGCAGGCCTTGCTGCCAGTGACAGGTGAGCTGGGCTTAGGCCTTGCTATGCCCTGCCCAAATACACTAGCACCACTCACGCACACTCTTCCTCCTCTAGGACAGGAGGTTGGAGAGCAGCCTGGGGGGTTGTCTAGTCTGAGGATGAGTGGCAGCCTCAAAGCTGAGGTGGATAAGACAACCCAAGTGGATATTGACAAGATGCTGAGTGTCTGTGCTGCTCCTCTTGTACCCCCCCTCTCCCCTCAGTACAAGTGACCGCCCACCCGCTGAGAATGTCTCTCCTCTAGGCCTAAACTAGGGCTGCAAGCTCAGGCCTAGGCCATCAGGTGGAGGAAGGAATTCAGACTTTGTACTTGGGAATTCGGGCTCTCTGAAAATAAACATTTCCCCTTTATAAAATTGTGATTCCTCAAATATGATGCCTGGATTGGGGAAAAGGCTGTGAGAAGGGAGGAGATTCACCCATGTAGCATTTGCCTGATGGGTTATCTGGATCACTGGAACCTTGACAAATGTGTCAGAGTGGGTGAGGTTGTTGTGTGACAAAATGTTTCCTGGGAGACACATCACATCTATCGTCCCGATAGGGAGCCAGGGACAGATCAAAGTACAGATACCACCGAAGGCCAACTTGGAGAACCAGTGAGTTTTATTGGGGTTACTTAGAGGAATATGGGTGAGGGGTTACCACAGGAGCAGAAATGACTCAAAGACAGCTGCACCACCAAAGCCCACCCCAGCACAGGTGACAACTCACAAAATCTGGGAACCTGGAGCTCATTGCACACCTTGCAGGCAGCTCAAAAGGTTGGAGATGACGGGCGTTGGTGGTGCACACCTTTAATCCCAGCACTCGGGAGGCAGAGGCAGGCAGATCTCTGTGAGTTCCAGGCCAGCCTGGTCTCCAGAGCGAGTGCCAGGATAGGCTCCAAAGCTACACAGAGAAACCCTGTCTTGAAAAACCAAAAAAGCAGGTTTCTACTTTTTCCAGGCTTCTGGTATAGTCCAAAATGTTTGCGCTCAGCTTCCCTCCATCAGGGAAGGACTCTTAGTTTTTATTGCTGACTCCAGCAGGGAGGGGCCTACTGAATCTGGTCAGTTTCAGGTACTTCCTGAAGCTATTTTGAGTTGTTTACCTTCCTGTTTAAGGAGCCTCTTCCAGGATGGCATGTTTAGATCTCGGAGGAAACTGCTACTCCACCGAGTTAGGTAGGCTTGGTGCCCAGCTTTGTATGCTCTCCCATGGTGTCTGCCTGAGAGTCAGACAGGGTAATGGTAGCAGGTGAGGGAGAGTAAGTTGGGACAGAGGAAAGATGTGTTAGGAACCAGTGTTTGATCCTATTTCCTGTCTCTTGAAGAAGGGCCTATATTTGTCCTGACTTCAAAGGAATCAGATCTAGGATCTCCCTGAGGTGGCAAAGTTCATTTGTCTGTCCCAAGACAAGCAGTTTCAGAAGGTTTACTACTAACCAAGTGTGGTGGTGCATACCTGTGGCTGGTGAGCTGGGCTTAGGCTTTGCTTTGCCCTTGCATTTGGGAGGTAGAGGCAGGCAGATAATGAGTTAAAGGCCAGCCTTGTTTGCATAGTGAATTCAAGGCCAGGGTATACTACATGAGACCCTCTCTTTTAAAAAAGGAAAGGAGCCAGGTGGCGGTGGCGCCACTCACCTTTAATCCCAGCAATCAGGAGGCAGAGGCAGGTGGATCTCAGTGAGTTTGAGGTTAGCCTGGTCTACATAACTCTAGGACAGCCAGGACTGCTACACAGAAAACTCTCTCTCTCTCTCTCTCTCAAAAAAAAAAGAGCTGGGCTTGGTGGTGCATATCTTTAATCTCAGGACTCTGGAGGCAGAGGCAAGGGATCTCTGAGTTTGAGGCCAACCTGTTTTACAGTATGAGTTCCAGGAGCCGGGCTAGACAGAAAGACCCTATCTCCAAAAGCCAAAAAAAGAAAGAAAAGGGGGGGCAGAGGGCAGAGGCTGGAGAGACAGAGAGACAGAGAGACAGAGAGAGAGAGAGAGAGAGAGAGAGAGAGAGAGAGAGATGGCTCTTGGTAAAAGCACTTGCTGCTTTTGCAGAGAACCCAGGTTCAATTTCCAGCACCCACACAGTACCTTACTCCTGTCTAACTTGTCCTGTCCTAGGGGATCTGACCAGTCTTCTGGCCTCTGCTTGTACCAGGTAGGTACACACTGTGGTGTACAGACATACATGTAGGCAACACACTCATGTGCATTAAATACTTGTAAAAAGCAACCAGACTACACTTTGCCCACAGATGGTCCCTGGTGATGGGTGGTGGTGACAGTGAATGCATGTCTTGAAGCTGTCACTGGATGACTGCTGCCTCTTGTCCGTCGTCAGCTCTCTAGGAAGAACGGACAATTGAGGGATGTGTGGAGACAAGACTGCTGGTCTTCCTATGTGCCCTTCAACACTTCTGACATGGGTTTTCCACACTAAATGCTTCCCCCCCCCCGGGGGCTGGAGAGATGGCTCAGAGGTTAAGAGCACTGGCTGCTCTTCCAGAGGTCCCAGCAACCACGTGGCCGCTCATAGCTACCTGTAATTCCAGTTTCACATGATCTGACACCTTCACACAGACATACATGCAAGCAAGACATGAATGCATATGAAATAAAAATCAATTTATTTAAAAAAATGCTTTTCTCCCCATATCAAGCTAAGATCCTGGTGTTACTTCTGACTCTATTCCTACAAGTGAATCTGCCCTCTAAATTGAGAGGTCAGAACGTGGGCCCCAGACGTCTACAGGTAAAAGCTTCAAAAGTGTTCCCTGCTTGGGGTCTCTGGTCTTATAGATGCACGCAGTGACCCCGCTGCAATACAGCTGCGTCCTCGATGATGTTACTGGCCCTCTAGCGTCTTGCTCTTCTTACCTCAGTTGCTTTGAAACTTAATGGCTGTGTGTAAGTCCCTGATGAACCAGGCATTTTATTGCTTTCATTATGCACATGGGGCTTTCTCTAAGATGTCTTTGTTCCTTCATCCTTCTACCTGGTTCATACCACACACACACACAAATACATACATACCACACTCACCACACACATACACAATATATACATACCACACACCCCACATGTATATGCAATACATTCATACCAAGACCACATACATACACAACATACATACCACATACATGCCACACATACCACATACATACACATATACATGCCACACATACAAACCACACAGACCTCTTTCTGCCGAGTCAGGAAGTACCTGTGTTGTCCTGAATTTGTAGCATTTTTATCATGTGACTGTACATACATCCCTAGTCACACATCATTGGGTCACACCAGTGGACTGTACATACACCCCTAGTCACACATCATTGGGTCACACCTACCTAGGGGCTCCCATCAAAGGCCTCAGGCAAGGAGGTCAAAGTAGAGGAGGCTACAGATGACAGGTCTGAAACAGAACAGCTAAAGCCATCTAAAGCCCACAGCCTCATGCAGGGCCTCTGGAATAATGGCCCAGCATGATCACTGGGTGGGAATGAGGTGGGCAGGTGCAGGTGAAAGCAGAATGGGCATGGTCCACTTTCCTAGCGTCGTTCTAGCCTGCTCCTGCCATTGGAAGGGTACCTAGATGCTTTCTGGCCCATAGGAAGTTCACTGGCAAGCCTTATAAGATCAAGACATCTCTCCCTCCATCTGCCTACAGTAATGATTCCACTCAGGTGATACTGTCCACAGGAGCCATGCAGACAGAATCTTGCACACAGAAATGAGATGATCATAGATGATTAAGGATGTTTCAGAGCTAGATAACAGAGTCTGACCTCATTTTATGACTGAGGAAGTAGACTCGTGCAGAGATGTGACTTTATAGTAAACCCTGGGGTCTTGTCCTACTGGGACTTCTACACCTTTTGTGGACCAAAGGACTCTGTCAGTGGCATGACCCAAGCATATGAAGCATTTGCTCTTTTTGTCTCCAGAGCTCCAAATGCAGATATCTAGTACTGAGAAGAAAGTTCATGTTTGTGCTTAGAGAACAGTTCCTGAGGCCTAGACCTGCAGGCTTGTCTTAGCAGGGTGCATGATGGGAGCCAAAGAAACAAATCACTTCTATGCTTTCGTGCTCATGTGGGTGCACAGATGTGGATGAGGTGACTGCCACTTTACCCTGGGGACAAATGATGCCAAGACAGCTGTTCCTGGGGGACAGCCTTTCAGGCTTGAGATAAGCCAAGGACAAACCTGTCCTGGTGTGGGAGATGCCAACAGGAAGGTTGCTCAGTGTAGTGGAAGAAGAGGACATGGCTACCAGGGACACAGGCCAGACAAGTATGAAGGTGATGAAGCAGACCATAAGCAAACAAGGAGTCTTAACCATGATAAAGGAGGAGTTACCTGTCAAGAGAGAGTTAAGTTCTACTATAGCCTAAAGAAGGTAAGAGAGTTACATGGTAGGAAGGAGTTGAGCCCAGCTGGAGCCTAGACTGATGATAAAACATGTTGTTTCTTGAAAGTTTACTTATTTATTTTTCTTTTTTAAAGATTTTATTTATTATATATACAGTCTTCTGCCTGCATGCCAGCACAGGGCACCAGATCTCATTCAAGGCTGTTGTGAGCCACCACGTGGTTGCTGGGAATTGAACTCAGGACCTCTAGAAGAACAGTCAATGCTCTTAACCGCTGAGCCATCTCTCTAGCCCAAAAGTTTACTTATTCTTTATGCCAAGAACTCTTAAGTTTCCTTGAGAAATAGTTCCAAAATAGTTGCTTTGTCCTACTGCTTCTGTTAACATGCTTGGTTTTTGTTGTTGTTTTGTTTTTTGTTTTTTTGGTGTTTTGTTTTCCAAGACAGGGTTTCTCTGTGTAGCTCTGACTGTCCTGGAACCCACTCTGTAGACCAGCTGGCCTCAAACACAGAGATCTGCCTGCTTCTGCCTCCCCAGTGCTGGGGTTAAAGGCTTGAGCTACCACCACTGGGCTTAAACATGATGGTGTTTATTTTTTATTATTTTTTGTTTTTCGAGACAGGGTTTCTCTGTGTAGCTTTGGAGCCTATCCTGGCACTTGCTCTGGAGACCAGGCTGGCCTCGAATCACAGAGATCCTGCCTCCCTTTGCCTCCTGAGTGCTGGGATTAAAGGCTTGAGCTACCACCACTGGGCTTAAACATGCTGGTTTTTAAAAACTGAGAAAAATTAATTGTTGCTAGAAGTCTGTAATCGTGGGAACTAGTGTAAAGCCCACTAATCAGGAGAAAGCCCAAAGATGACACTGTACATATAGCTAATAGGAACCATATGAGACAATGGATCAGGGTCTGACCACTTTGAGGATTAGTTTGAGTTCTCATCAACTGATAAAGCTGAGTTCTCCATCTCTCCAACTGTAAACTGGTGGTGTCTTGGGTGGGGGTCTGCTTCTCTCACAGCCTGACATTGTGGAGAGATTTGTTTATGAAGCAAAGAACAAGGATTGGTGAGATGGCCAGGGAGGCAGCCAGCAGATGCCACGGTGGGTGAGTACAAAGCCTAGATTTTCTTGAGAGGTCTATGGCTTAACAGGTGTTTTAGACGTTCTCATATGGTTGTGGTATCAAAGGGGAAAGCTAACTTGGAACAAATTTTTACCTCAAAGTATTGTCCTGGGAGATGCTGCTGCCTTCTTCCAGGAGGGGGCGCTGCAGGACAAGCCTGGAACTAGGTTGGCTAAGTCACCCCTGGGATCTCTTAGCCAAGGCATCTGGGCCTTAAGGCCCAACTCATCTCATTCCCAGTGACTGCAAGTTCTTGTGCCAGAGATATGAAAAGATGTCAGGGGTCTGGATCTAGGCTCTGAGAGGTGCCTTCAAAGTCCCACTTCATGCCGCTCTCTACCTGCTCCAGTACTGATTCTATCTCCAAACACAAAGTTCTCTAACCTAAGCATCTCTCTGAGCCAGCAAAAAGGATCTTTCACAAGTACATCTTTGGGATTCTTGGCCATTCTCAAACATAGGGGTGACCTTGGCATCTTTTTTGTTTTGTTTTCTTCAAGACAGGGTTTTCCTGTGTAAACCATTCTGGCTGTCCTAGAACTCACTCTGTAGACCAGGCTGGCCTCGAACTCAGACATCTGCCTGCCTCTGCCTCCCCAGTGCTAGGATTAAAGGTGTGCACCACCACCTCCTGACTGGGACCTTGGCATCTCAGTAAGACACACAGGGACAGCTGGAGCTGAGAAGTGTTCTACAGACAGGACTGTTGTGTGTTAGCGTCCTACCTGAGGATGGGCACTGTCAATGCCTTCCTAGTTCAGGCCAGACCGAATCCTGCTCCAGAGCAGCCAGTGCCTAGGTGTCTGCGAGAAGATTCCAAGTGCTGGAATAAGGTAGCTTAAGGTCAGGGGCTAGCATCCTCATGGAGTAACTGCCTCTCTGTGCCTTCCAGTATAAACAATGGGAATAGATTTTATTTTGAGAAAGGTTCTTGCTTTGTAGCCTTGGCTGACCTGGAATTCTCTATGTTGAACTTGCAGCAATCCTCCTGTTTCTGGCTCCCAAATGCTAGGATTACAGATGTACAGCACCATACCCAGCTCTAATGCACATATTAACAGTACCTTTCAGAATGGTTTAGAGATTAAATAAAATGATCTGCATAAAATGGTTTACTTTGGGCAATCAGAACACCAACAGTACTCCAACCTGATTTTACCTCACAAAAGACAATGTTTGAAATCGGGACACTGCAGGGAAATGGGCATGATGGTTTCTACAAGTGATGCCAAGAGGAAGAGGAAGCCCCCGCCCCCGGCCTTTTTGGCAAGGAGCCCAGGACTTGAAGGAGGAAGATGAGCGGCTTCCCAATCCAGCATATTGGCAAAGGACACATACAGGCACCTTCTTCCTTGAGCTCCTCCTTGAGGACTCTCCTGAAGCCACACCATGGCTTCAAGAACAGAACACTAGAGCTGGAGGGGGTTCAGCAGTTAAAGCTGCTCACTGCTTTGACAGAGGATCCAGGTTCGATTCCCAGCATTCACATCAGGTGGTTCACGACTTCCTGCTCCAGGAAATCTGATGCCATCTTCTGGCCTCTTTGGGCACCTCACTCATGTGTACACTCACACAGTGAGAGACATGCATACATATAAATAAATAACAAATCTTGAAAAACAAGAACCTTCCGTGGCCGCCAGCCTAGGGGCTCCAGGCTCCTCCTATCTTCTTGAAATGGCAGGTTTGGCAGCCCCCTAATAGGAAGCCTCGCACCCTATCTACTAAAAACATTTGGAGAACTTCTGGGACTCAGCCATGAGCTAAGTCATTAGCTCAGAGCTGCTGTGTAGTCCATGAGAAAAGGGGGAAAACAACCAATCTATAGTAATAAACAAGCATTCCAGTATTAAAGAAACCCAACCCCAAACAAACGACCACACACTATGATGTCACATTTTTTCTGGCTTATTTACTGACATTTCTGAGATGTTCTACAGTTCCCCTTTGTCTCCTCTCTACCAAGTCAGGGGCCCTCCTCCCTATGTATGATACAGAAATCTCCTTTTCTGTGGGAAGGGCCTGCTTGAGGCCTGAGAGGGTCTGATCACATGGGAGGGTGGGTAAAGACCCACCTTTTCTGTGAGATGGCCTGTTGCCTTCACCAGTCCTAAGACGCCCCAGTCCAAGACGGGCACGGCTTCTTGCCATCTCCCCTCAGGACTCAACCAAGCTGGTTCCTTTTATTGGGCTTTCTCATCCTGACAGATCACAAATCAGGCTGAACAGCCCAGACTGATCTCTTACTGTCCCTGCTCACTGGTAGAACCACAGGGTCAGGCCACAGCCCGATCCACATATAGTGCTAGCCTGAGATGCAGCACCTGCTGCCTGGCAAGTCTGAGGAGTCAATGATGGATGGATGGGCTTTTTCCTGGGTCACCTTCAGTGGGCTCCAAGGCCTGGCCCAAGCTAATTTATTAAACAAAAGACACTGTCTCTGCTATAGCCAAGCACAGCCCCCAGTCCCCTCCCCAGTCCCTCTGCCCCCAAGGGAGGGAGGTCATGTGTAGGCTCACAGGTTGTTCCGCTGAAGTGCTTCACATAGGTTCTGGTTGGCATCTGGCTCCTCTGTTAGCATTTCCACAGTCTCCCATTCTCCAGATCGGCTTGACCTTTTAATAGCATCCACCACGCTTTGCATATATAGTCCGTCCTCAAATGAGGCAGCCATAGAGACAGGGGTGCGGTCCCAGGTACGGCGATCCCCCTGCCCCTGGAAGGATTGGCGCAAGGCCTGCACCATATAGACCATACCTTTCAAGTAGAGCAGTGGGACATCCTGGAGACCCTGCTCAGGGAGCCCTGCACCCACAGCCAGTGAGTCTCTCACCAGCAGCTCCTCCTGTGTGGCAGAGTTCTTCTGCCCATAGAGGTCAGCTCCCCGGGCAACAAGGCGACCTGCTGAGCCTACAACCATGACTTCATGTACAAAGGCACCTGGCATGTTGAAGTTGAGTGTCACTGTGCTGCATACCCCCCCACCCATGAGCATCTGGAAAAAACAGAAGTCATCACTGGTGACATGCCGGATGCCACGGATGGTGGCATTCTGCCTCACAAAGGTCTTGAGTAGACCATGCACCTTCTCGGCTTTCCGGCCAGTCACGTGGGTCAACAGGTCCACAATATAGGTACCCATGGTGTGCAGGCCCCCACCACCCATGAGCTCATCACATATCCAGCCATAGCTGGGGCTGAGCAGGCTCCCGGAGTAGATTCGGGCATCGCAGATCATCACCGCCCCGACATAGTGCTCTGCGATCAGTTGCTTCATGCGCACAAAAGCAGGCAAGAAGCGCAGCACATTCCCAACCAGGCTCATCAGCTGTGGGTAGTAACGAGATGCTGTCACCATCCGGAAGGCATCCACTGAGGTTGCAGCCTTCTCACAGACCACATTCTTCCCGATTCCTATGAATAAAAGACAGTGGGAAATCTTCAAAGTTTCACAAGATTTGCCTTGTAGGGGGAAATTTTTTTTTTTTTTTTTTTTTTTTTTGGGACAAGTTTCTCTGTGTAGCTTATGACTGTCCTGGAACTCATTCTGTAGACCAGGCTGGCCTAAAAACTCAAGAGATCTGCCTGCCTCTGCTTCCCAGGTGCTGGGATCAAAAAGTGTACGCTACCATAATACAACTGTATTTCCCAAGACTGACAAAATGGGATATACCTGTCATTTTAGTATTTGGGTGGGATGGAGACAGTTAGCTTGGATTACATAAAATTCAGTCTACACACACACACACACACACACACACACACACACACCCTCCCTCCCCAGGAATGTCTCCTATAGAAACAAGTGATCTGGAGGGAGGAGATTTAGAACATACTGAAGACGTCTCAGTGACAGGAGTAGTAAATTCTTCCATTGGAGTGGTGGTGGGTACTGGGGATGGCCAGGACCAAGTGAGGCTTCACATGGGAGTTTCTGGGGTTAGGGAACAGGTGCAAGGCACACAGAGAGGGGGTAGGACAAATGCCAAGACACTAAGGCAATGAAGGGCCAAGAGTTAGAATTGCTAACAACCTGGCTGCATGACAGGACACAGAACCAGAGAGATTATGTGATATTTAAAGCGATGTGGGAAAGTAGACAGACAATAGGCATCACTAACTCCCAAGACATTCAAAGAAAGATCCAAAATGGGGCTCTGGAGAGTCCCTTGCTCAGATTTTCCCCATCTAGGTTTACTGAGCCAAAAAATACTAAAGGAACCTCATACATGCCACTTTTTAAAAGATTTTGTATCTGTGTGGTATATGAAAGTGTGTATGCTTATGTGTGTACATGTGTCTGTGCAGTTGGTCATACAATATATACATAAGGAGGCCAGAGCCAAAAATCAGTGTCTGCTTCTATCACCCTCAAACTTTTTTTTTTGATACATGGACTTTCAATGTAGCCACAGCTGGTCTTGATTCACTATGCAGACCAGACTGGCCTTGAACTCACAGAAATCCTCTTGCCTCTCTCTGACTCTTGAGTGCTGAGATTAAAAGTATTTACCACACCAGGCCACTTTATTTTTGAGATAGTCTCTCACTGAGCCTGGGTTTGGTTACACTGGCTGGCCAGCAAGTGCCCATCTCTGCCTCCCCACTCTGGGATTTCGCTAACTTTGCTAACTGAGCCCTAGTCCCTTATAGCCCTTTTTTCTTTTTTTGAGATAGGGTTTCTCTGGTTGTCCTAGAACTTACTTTGTAGGCCAGGCTGGCCTGGAACTCAGAGACTGGCCTGCCTCTGCCTCCCAAGTGCTGGCGTTAAAGGCGTGCGCCACCACACCATGCTACACTCACTTTTATATATACTGTGTACTTGGTCTTCAAGCTGCATCCAGAATCTAACCAGTTCTAACTGCCACTTTCCTCATCCAGGTTATCACTGTTTTGTTTTGCCTGGATTATAACAACAGTCATTTGTTGGAAGATGTGAGACAAAAAGATCAGGAGTTCAAACTACACAGCTAGTTTGAGGCCGTATCTCAAAAACCTAGTCCCCCACTCCCCAAAGTCACTTAATTGCTCTCTGCCTCTGCTCTGGCAACCTTCAGTGTCCTCACAGAATGGCAGTCATACTTGTGTTCAAGCTTGTTATAGTTTGACATTCTCCAAAGGTATGATCCCTGACACTTGGTACTATTGGAAAAGGAAACCTTTGGGAGGAAGCAAGGCCACAGGAGGCCGTGCATTTGAATAGGATACTGAGTTCCGGGCCTTACCCCTGTTCTTCCTCATTGCTTCGCTGCTGCCATGAAGTAAAAAGCTTTGCTCCTAAGTGGGCCAGGGTGGCTCACACCTGCAGTCACAGCAGTCACAGGTTGAAACAGGAGGATTATGAGCTTGAAGCCAGCCAAAGCTACACAGTGAGAGCCTGTTTCAAACACACACAGAGCAGTCTTGTTCCACTACATGGTCTTTGCCTTATTCTCCTATCTCATATGGGTCCAGAGGCAATAGAGCTACGTCATGGCTAAATGGCTAAAACCTCCAGCAAAGCAAACTTTCCCTTTAAACTCAAAGAGGTCCTCTTGCATGGCCTCCAAGTGTTGGGATTGGTGTGTGCCACGGGCCTGGCTAACCTGTCCTTTTAAGTTGTGTAGTTCAAATACTTTGTTCTGGTGATGGAAATGTAAAACATAACATAAAACTTAGGATGGCTCAGCATATTTCCCCCAAAAAACCTTCCAATGGATTCATATCTCATTCAGAGGACTATGAGTTGGAGGCCAGCCTGCACTACACCAAAAGACTTTGTCCAAAAAAAAGAATTAGGGCTGTTAAGATGGCTCAGTTGGGGCTTGGGGGAAGCCCTTTCTATGCAAGCCTGATGACGTGAGTTCAATCCCAGGATTCTACAGTAGAAAAAACTGACTCCAGAAAGTTGTCTGCTGAGCCCTTCACCATGTGCTCTGTGGCATATGCATATCTGCATACACATACATGTGCACACACATGCTACATACGCATATATGACAACATATATGACAATAATTTTTGTTTGTTTTGAGACAGGGTTTCTCTGTGTGACAGCCCTATCTGTACACCAGGCTGGCCCTGAACTCACAGAGCTCTACTGTCTCTGCATTCTGAGTGCTGAGATCAAAGGCGTGTTCAGCAGGGAAATTCATCTAGCCATCTTTCACTATGAACACTGGCTACCATTGACTATAAATTTTCTAACAAAAAAAGAAAAAGAAAAAGAAAGAAAAGAAACTATAAAAATAAAAATGACTGATGCCTCCCATGATGGATGGGCCTCCAGCCAGCCAAATAGCAAGAAAGTGCCAACTATTAGTGTTAAAGACAAACTTAAACACCAAGACCAGATATTTCTGTCACCTAAATGTTTCTCACTTCATAACTGAATGACCTGCAGTTTCCGTCCTCCTATCAAGAGTTTTGGTTTATTATTGTGAAATGAGCTAATCCACCTTCCAGGGAGAATGACTGGATTAACTGAGGTACCAGGTAAGGTGCCTGGCTCAGCACAACTGTCAGGGAGCCACTTTTACCAAACTGCAGGAGAGGATGAAGGCACACAACAGCAGAAGGGCTTTCCGTAACTCAGATTCACATAAATGCCACAATTTCCAGGCAAACAGCCTTCAAATTTATTATATCATATTCCTTGTTATATCAGTACTGCTCACAAGGGGTCTCACAGAAATGGGCTCTGTGCAGCTCTTTGGGAGCTTACACCCTCACAGTGGCCACAGCAGAGAGTTGTTTTTGACAATCCTGGCAGCTCCTTACTTCCTATACCTATCCCAGCCACCCTGACCCTTAGGAAGTCCACAGAACATTTATCATCTACACATATGAGGGTCTTGGGCCAGAACTCTCAAGATGATGAACCTTGGTGCTATACCAAGGAGCACCCTATGGTACATCACTGCAATTTAGGATACCCTTCAATCTCCTGCTCTTCCTCAAATAACTGAAGCTTCAACAACAGGTGCAGGCAGGATGACAGAATGCCCAGGGCAGGGTGGCCAGGCTTTTGCACAGGCACCCTGCAGGAGGGAAAGGAATCCCAGATGCCATTATTACTGCTTCTGGAGGGTCTCCAATGCTCCCCTCTTTGTAATTTCTGGATGAGGGTCAGGAGAATTTCAATACTAGAGGTAATTGCCATTTGGCTGTTAAACATGTGGCTGACCACTGAGGTATAATTAGGTTCTCAGACACAAAACCCCACAGAGAGTTGTAGTTCTGACCACCTAGAAGCTTCCTGTTATAGCAACACACTGCTCAGCTTGTGGCAGACACTACTTAGTAGGGCAGTGAAGTAAGTTTGGAGAAGGATGGGGAGAAAACCCCACTTTCAGCATGTCCAGCAGAAGAGCTCTTAGATATAGGACCCAGGGATCTTAGCATGGAAATCAAAAGTATTCAGACATAATTGGGTTCCTGCAGGCTGGCCATGCAAACTACAAATTTTGTTAGACTTGGGTTATCTTGAATACATGCTTAAGTTTATCTAGCTCTCCTGCCAGGAAGTCAAAAGAGGCATTAAAGCTGCTATTTGCTTCCTGGCAGCAGGAGACAGAGTTCCTGGGTACTTTTTTTTTTCTTTGTATGTTTGTTTTGTTTTGGTTTTTGGGTTTTTTTTGGGGGGGTTGTTTTTTTGAGATAGGTTTTCTCTGTGTAACAGCTCTAGCTGTCCTGGAACTCACTTTGTAGACCAGGATGACTCTGAACTCATACCTGTCTCTGCCTCCTGAGTGCTGGGATTAAAGGCGTGCATCCTGGGATTTCTAGATTCTGCAGTGCTAGATTGAACCCAGGGCCTCCAGGATGCTAAGCACATACTCTACCACTGAGCCTTACTGCTCCCCACTCCATGAATAGTTTTTACCTCAGGTTTTCTGGAGGGTAAACGTGTTTTAAGCTGTAAGCCTCACTCTAGCTACAGATCCCTTACCAAGGCCCACAGCAGCTGTCCCAGTCATCCTCAGAACACTTCTTTGTTCCTTAGTAACAAACACACTGTAGGAAGTGGGGTTCCCTAATGAGAGAGAGGCCTGGGAGTAAATGATTCATAAAGCAGGGTAAAGAGGGAGCCCAAGAAGGGCATCACTTTCATGTCTCATGTCTAATAAAATCCAGGGAGATACATATGTGCACACACAAAGTTTTACTCATTATTGTGTATTTGCACAAAATATCATATTGTATTCACATTGTGTGTATGTGGGTGCGTGTGCCTTAGTGCATGCTGGCCAGAGGACAGCTTTGTGGAGTTGGTTCTCTCCTGTCACCTTTATATGGGTTCCAGAGAGCAAATTCAGGTAGCCACACTTGCATGGGCAGCGCCTTTACCCACTAAGCTATCTCAGTGGCTCCCACATGCTTTTTAAACATTTTTTTTATTTTATGTGCATTGGTGGTTTGCCTGTAGGGGGGTGTCGGGTCCCCTAGAACTGGAGTTACAGACAGTTGTGAGCCACCATGTGGGTGCTGGGAACTGAATCTGGGTTCTCTGGAAGAGCAGTCACAGCTCTTAACCACTGAGCCATCTCTCCAGTCACTCACTCTCTTTCTTTCTTTCTTTCTTCTTTTTTTTTTTTTTTTTTGGTTTTTCGAGACAGGGTTTCTCTGTGTAACTTTGTAGACCAGGCTGGCCTCAAACTCACAGAGATCCGCCTGCCTCTGCCTCCCGAGTGCTGGGATTAAAAGGCGTGTGCGGCCACAGTCTGGCTCATTTTTTTTTTAAGATTTTTTTTTTTTTTTAATTACATATACAGTCTTCTGCCTGCATGCCAGCACAGGGCACCAGATCTCATTCAAGGTTGTTGTGAGCCACCATGTGGTTGCGGGGAATTGAACTCAGGACCTCTGGAAGAACAGTCAGTGCTCTTAACTGCTGAGCTATCTCTCCAGCCCTCACTCTTTTCTTTAATTAAAAAGGTTTTATGGCTTAGCAGTTAAGAGCACTTGCTTCTCTTACAGAGAACCTGGGTTCAGTTCCCAGAACCTACCTGGTAGCGCATAACCATCTGTAACTCCAGTTCTAGGGGATTCAACTCCCTCTTCTGGCCTCCTCAGACACCAGGCATACATGTGGTGCTCACAGATATATGTAGACAAACACTCGGGTTTCTCTGTGTAGCTTTGGAGTCTGTCCTGGAACTCACTCTGAAGACCAGGATGGCCTCAAATTCACAGAGATCTGCCTGCCTCTGACTCCAGATTGCTGGAATTAAAGGCATGCGCCACCACTGTCCAGCAAAATAATTTTTTAATAATTTATTTTTATTTTATATTCATTGGTGTTTTACCTGCATATATGTCTTCATGAGGGTATCAGAAGTCCTGGAACTGGAGTTACAGACAGGTGTGAGCTGCCATGTGAATGCTGGGAACTGAACCTAGGTCATCCTCTGGAGAAGCAGTTGGTGCTCTCAGCCCCTGAGCCATCTCTCCAGCCCTTATTTTGTTTTATTGAGACAAGGTCTCTCTTTGTAGTCTTGACTGTCATGGAACTCACTATGAAGACCAGGCTGGCCACAGAGATCTGCCAGTTTCTGCCTTCTGAAGGCTGGGATTAAAGGTGTGCCCCACCACACCAGGCCCAGCTACTAGAAATACGAGTTTAAAAAACAGCAGAGCAGGCTCTCACTCTTGTCTTCAGCCCATTCCCATTCTTTCCTGGCTACAGGTCCATGTTAGCTCTCTGGCCACCAGCAAAATGACCTACATGGGTGGAAACTATAAATGTCTCATTTACCGAGTTATACTTTAAGGCTCAGATGACCATTCAGTAAAAATGTAGACTGCATAGCAGGGATCTGGTCTGACCTGGGCTCAGGGAGGCTTCCTAAGGAACTGGAGTTCTTGAGATTAAATTATCTGAGTCAGTCTGCTTGGAGAACAATCTTTTGTTATTATAACAGTCCATGAGAAAAGAATTAGTAAACTTAATGAGTGTGTACATAGAAAATATATAGACATATATATTTAATTTTAATTAATTTTAAAAACTTTATTACTTAAAAATAACAACAAAAATCCCTTTAAATAACACAAACACACCAAAATTAACCAGACCCAAAGTCTATATATCTCAGTGAATTTCTATATAATTATAATGGCCATTATGAAATTGTAGAGCTTCACATTGGATTTTACACTTCCACTATGGAATATATTTTTATGCACTTATCCATCAGCAAATATGAAAAATCTTTGGCAGAATTAGAACTAGGAAACAATCCACTCCTTATCCTCTTTTATAATTCAGACTAGAGAGCAGGTTGGATAGGTGAGGTGATGAGGACTTGAGTGCATTCCCTGCACCCGTGAAAAAACCAGGTGCCATAGCACATATAAATAACCTCAGTGCTTAGAACACAGGGAGCGGCCACAGACAGACATACGTCAGGGGCTTACTGGCTGGCCACTCGAGTTGAGATGGTAAAGTCCTGGTTCAGTGTCTCAAAATATAAGGTAGATAAGGGTGGAAAGCCCCAAGTTCAATTCCTAGCACCCAAATGGGCTGCTTACAATGGCCTGTAACTCCAGCTCCAGGAGGATCTAACAGGCTTCTTTCCTGAGCACCTGAATTCACAGGCACCCCCCACCCCCCCAACCCCCCGCAAATTAAAAATAAAATTACCCAATATCAACCTCCAGTCTCTATATGTGGCATGAAGGGACATGCATTCCCACACACTGTGCACACATGGATACCACAAACACAAAATCAAAACAAAAAACTACTCTAATGAGAAGGAAAAGCAATTTTGTCTACAGCTCAAGACTTAGAAAATATTCAAGTAACATTCCTGGGCCTCAGTTACATTCTCTTCTTTTTCTTTTGTTTGGGGTTCTAGGGACTGAACCCAAAGCCTCATGTATACTAGCTCTGCCTGAGCTACACCCCCAAGTCCCAGTGGGCCTCAGATTCAGAGGAAAACTAAGAAGTCAGCCTCTCCTTTTACCATGTGGATTCAGGAGATCAAACTCAGGTTGCCAGCCTTGGCAGCACATGCTTTTAACCACAAAGCCGTCTCACGGGCCCTCTTTTTCTTTCTTTCTTTCTTTCTTTCTTTCTTTCTTTCTTTCTTTCTTTCTTTCTCCTTCCTTCCCTTCCTTCCCTTCCTTCCCTTCCTTCCCTTCCTTCCCTTCCTTCCCTTCCTTCCCTTCCTTCCCTTCCTTCCCTTCCTTCCCTTCCTTCCCTTCCTTCCCTTCCTTCCCTTCCCACGGTTTCTCTGTGTAACAGCTCTGGCTGTCCTGGAACTTGCTCTGTAGACCAGGCTGGTCTTGAGCTCACAGAGATCGGCTTGCCTCTGCCTCTTGAGTGCTGGGATTAAAGGCACACTCCATCACTGCCCAGCTTTCCTTTTCTTTTTTAAACACAGTTTTTCCATGTATCTCATTTTGCCCTTGAACTCATTATGGAGCCAAGAGAATTTGATCTTCTGATCTTCCTGCCACACCTCCCAAATGCTGGGATTGCAGGTATATACATATCATCACACTGAGTCTTAGGTGGCTCTGGAGACTAAGCCCTGGTACAGCAAAAACTCTATCAACTAAGCCACATTCTTTAACTGACAACAAAGACTTTACAATGGGTCTGTGATCCTTCACCCACAGCGTGAATCAGAACCACCTAGGAAGCTGGCCAGCCACAGTGTGGGGCATGCCCCAGGAGGCAGCAGGCTTGAGGGGCTTGAGAAATTACAGTTCTATTCTTACAACTGTCCCAGGTGACACTGCTTCTTTGGTGGTGCTGTGTGGGGACTCCTGCAGTGTAGGGGGAACTGGACAAGTTCTGTGAGCCTCTTCCACAGTACTGAGTCAAGGCAGAACTCTCTCTAAGAAAATGAGAGCACACAATAGGTGGCTGACTAGACATACACAGGCCTCGCCGTTCTACTTTATGCCTTCGATAGCCAAAAGACGTGGTTCTTCTAACTGGCATGAGAAGTCTGAGAAAACATCGGTCCGTGTCCCTTATCTGCAAGTCTGTGTCAGTGTTGTGTGCCTCATATTGCTGTTTTTCACACTTTATACCTTTTCATGTGCTTTCCATATGATAGCACAAGCCAAGAAACATGCTTAATGGAAGTTAAATGGGAGTTAAACAGATAAATAGAAGTTTTAGGTAATTGTAAGCACTTCTTACATGCTCCAGGTCTAAAGGAGCTGAGCTAAAATTAGACTATTCAACAGCTACTGTCTGTCTTCTTCCAACTCTAAAAAGACTGCCATTTTAAAGCTTGGAACCTTAATTAAAAACAAAAGTGACACAAAGAAAAAGAACAAGAGAGATAGATCCAACAACAGAAAGAAAAGAAGCTAGGAGCAGTGGCACATATAATTCCAGCACTCAGAAGGGTGAGGCAGGATTGTGAGTTGGGGGGATAGCCTGGGCTACATAGTAAAATGTCATCTCAAGATACGGATGATGAAAAGAAAAATCTGTCTATAGTTCACAGGCAAGAGGAACTCACTAGGAACTGAAGATCAGTTGACCAGGTCACACCCAGCCAGGGTCAGAGGTTCCCAAGCCCAGTTTCCCAAGGGAATGGAAATGTGAGCAAGTGACAGGTGTCAGGAAAGCCAGGAATGACAGAGAGCCTTCCTGCTGTCTGGCAACATGAGATTGCAGCTTGACAGGAAGGGTGGTGCTCACTACAGTCAAGGGCTGACAAAGCACGGGAAACAGTAGCCTTCTAGACAGCCTCCTCTCCTTCCTGTGGTGCTGTGTGCTACAGAATGACAGAACAAACACATCAGTCACAACTGAGTCACAGGGTCCAGGGAATGCTGACTTCCCAGAGGCAGACCTGACAGTCAAGAAGTGCAACTGTCTCTAGTTTCTTGATAGGCTGCGTTTCTGCTCAGAGGGTTACTAGTGAAAAGGAGGAAGAGAAGGTCCAACCCCTTTTTTTGTTTTTTAGAGCTTTTAGAATCTCCAACATACCTTCCCCAGCCCTGCCCCAGTGATGTCCCAGGGTACTACTTGCAGATGCAGACAAAGAAGGACTGCCCAGAAGAATACACACTCTGCCTCCTATGGCCTGAAGTGCATACCTAGAGCCTTCACGGATATCTGCCGGGTGAGTGGAGGGGGGATGTTGATGCACACCAGGTCTACATCTTGGTGCAGCAAGACGTCATCAGTGCGGCTGGTGTAAAAGGTGATGTTCATCTCCTCAGCCAGCTGCTTTGCTTCCTCCTCGGTCTTCCCCCACAGGGCCTCCACAGTGAACCCCTCTGCCCGAAGCAGCGGCACTAGGACCCGGGCTGAGCTGCCAGTCCCAAACACGCCCACTCCTGGCAGCAACTTCATCCTGGCCTCTGCTCAACAACTCATCTCCTTACAAGGGTCTCCAGAACGGAGTTGACCTTCCCATAGTCTTGCTCAAACATGGCTCCTAAAACAGTAAGAAAGTAACAGTTAGTGGTGGAGATCACGCTCACTGGAACGTACATTCTTGGGTATATGGAAGCAATAAGTTCTCTGCCCCCAAAGCACAAATAAGGTATTTTTCCAAAAAATAAAAAGCTGAAGGCTCTTGTTCCTAGAACACTGACAGATACCACAACTTAGTCACCTGTTAGACACAGAGAAAACAAATGAGAAGTGGAGGTCAAATCTTATTCTACTAAAGTTTCAGCATAATTCTGGGCAAGTAATTTAGCCTTCAAGAGTTCAACAACAAAAAGGATTGATCTTGAACTTCCTTCTTTTAATAAGTATTTATCTACTTAATGTGTGTGTGTGTGTGCCTAGGTATATGTCTGTGCATCACAAATGTGCAGGAAACCATGGAGGCCAAAAGAGGGCATTGGATCCCCTGGAATTGGAGTTCCAGGCGATAGTGAACCTCCATGTGGGTGCCGGGAACTGAACCTGGGTCCTCTGCAAGCGCAACAATGCTCTTAACTTCTGAGTCATTTCTCCAGCCCTTAAAGTTTTCTTGCTGTAAACACTGACAAGAAAAAGTAGGAAATAAAAAGCAGCATACAAAGAAAGGAGAAGCAGCTATGGTTGCAGCACTATGAAGACAAGCACTGGTGAAGCTTAATGAAGCTTGCCATGCATCCGTGAGGTCAAGTTTGAGTCTCCAAAGAAACGAACAACAAAAAAAAAAATGTTCTTTTTTCCTTTTTTTGTGATTAGGTATTCACCAGGGAACACTTGGAAATCTGAGGAAGGAGAACTGTGCATGTGAGGCCAGCCTGACCTATATAACAGGAGTCTGTCTCAAAAAAGACTGAAAAGAAAAAGGAACCCAAGCCTGGTGACACGTCCTAGCACCCAGGAGCAGAGGGGGGTGGATCTCTGTGAGTATGAGTACAGGGGTGGGGGTGGTGGTGGTGGTGGCTCTGTGTAGTCCTTGCTGTCCTGGAACTTGACGTACAGACTAGGCTGGCTTTGAACTCAGAAATCCACCAGCTTCTTCCTTGAAAGTGCTAGGTTTAAAAGGTGTGCACCGCCGGGCATTGGTGGCCCACGCCTTTAATCCCAGCACTCAGGAGGCAGAGGCAGGGGGACATGTGTGAGTTCGACACAAGCCTGGTCTACAAGAGCTAGTCCCAGGCCAGCCTCCAAAGCCACAGAGAAACCTTGTCTCAAAAAAAGAAAAAAACAAAAAAAAAAAAAAAAGGGATGCCCCACCATTGCCCAGGGATAGATAGATTTCTTAAGCATTGGTGGTGTAAGATAACAAAATGGATTAGATTTTTTTTTTGGGGGGGGGGAGTTTCCGAGACAGGGTTTCTCTGCGTAGCTTTGGAGCCTATCCTGGCACTTTTCTGGAGACCAGGCTGGCCTCGAACTCACAGAGATCTGCCTGCCTCTGCCTCCTGAGTGCTGGGATTAAAGGTGTGTGCCACCAACGCTCGGCCTGGATTAGATTTTTTAATAACCTGTTTTACTACCACTGACTCAAGGGCAGCTTCACTAACACCCATAAAGGTCCTCTAAAGAAGCTAAATGGCATGAGACTAACCAAGCTGGATGAGTGGGTGTTTCCTGCTCAAGCAGGAACAGCTAGTTTTCCTGGTTCATTTCAACAGCTACTTTCTCACCCCTAAATTTCTTTCTCTTTGTCTTAAAATCTTTGCATACGCCTTTCACATGCCCCTGAAGACCTATCCAAATGCAGCCTCATGAGCGCATATGAATTCCAATCAGTGCATCTTGTCAGGAATGCAGAGTACAAGCACTAGGTGAGGGGAAGGCAGTATAGAGGTCAGAAGCTTGCATTCAAGTCCTGACTCTGCCACTTACCAGCTGGGTGGCCTTCAGTTGGGTGGCCAAGGAAGTTGATCACTTTCTTTCTCTCAAACACACCCCCTCAGGTTTTGTTTGGTTTGTTTTTCGGTTTTTTGAGATAGGGTTTCTCTGTGGCTTTGGAGCTGTCCTGAACTAGCTCTAGTAGACCAGGCTGGTCTGGAACTCACAGAGATCCGCCTGCCTCTGCGTCCCGAGTGCTGGGACTAAAGGCGTGCGCCACCACTGCCCGGCCACCCCCTCAGGTTTTTTGAGACATGTTTCACACTATAGCCTAGAACTCACTGTGTAACTCAGGCTGAAGTTAAACTCACAGCAATGTGCCTGTCTCAGCTTCCCCAGAACTGTGATTACAGGTGTGTACTATCATATATAGCCAGAGAGCTCAGCTTTTTAAAAAAGATTGATTATGGCCGGGCTGTGGTGGTACACTTGGGAGGCAGAGGCAGGGGGGGTTTT